TGGTTCTCGTGGTTCTCTGGTTCTCGTGGTTCTCTGGTTCTCGTGGTTCTCTGGTTCTCGTGGTTCTCTGGTTCTCGTGGTTCTCTGGTTCTCGTGGTTCTCTGGTTCTCGTGGTTCTCTGGTTCTCGTGGTTCTCGTGGTTCTCGTGGTTCTTGCGGTTCTCGTGGTTCTCTGGTTCTCTGAGCTGGTTCTGGTTTTGGAGATTTTACTGTGGCTCGCTCAGACTTTCCTAGCTCCCCCTACTCTAAGTTTACTGTCTACCACACAGGGGTGCGCAATCTCAGGACGGGACAGGAAGAGAGGGGATGGAAAATTGAGCTCGTTTTCAGTTCTCTTTCAGAGAGAAAATAAACATGGCGAAGCACAGGGCGATTGTCGGGCTTTTCATCGTCTTGCCTCTATTTTCTTTGTCTGGTTGTATTGCTGTTAACATCGATAGAGCAACCCAAGCTTTTATCCAGGCAATGATACGGAGAGAAAACATATGCACAGTAACCGGACCGACTTGTGCAGTTCCTCGTGGAGTCTATCTTCGGACCAGGCTCGGCGACTCGTGTGAGGCATTTCTTGTGCCCGATATTTTGTTCTGGGATCCAAAGTTTTACTTTCCTGGCGTTACGTTCCTTTGTCCCTCTTGTGAAGAGCAATGATTGTTTGAGCAGTTGCATTCAATCCGTTGGAAAGACGGCAGCCGGACATACGATCAGCCACGTCATCTATACGGGTTACGAAACGACGTGCCTCTGGTCAGTAGAGTTTATCTGTGTAGAAATAAACATCAAATTCTCATCCACGACTCAGGGGTCATCGCTCAAATAAAGGGTGAATTTCTTCCGCCATTCGTTCTGTGCCACAAATTTGGTGTGAACAGAGAAATGTTTTAGCTTGTGAAATCTGATGTCAGAGCAGGAATGACCATATCAGATATACGATATACAGGTCTTATGGCAACAGACTTTATTTGACGAATATGGCTTGAGAAAGTTGTATTATGTTCAAGAAACAAGAAACAAGGCAGTCGACTTTCCTGTGTTTTCACCACAATTAGGCCGAAAGGTTGGTGAAAAAGTACTCAGTCCTTGCTACATACAATCTTACTTTGAAAGAGAACATTTGTATAGTGCAAGAATGAGGGAAATGAAAGCTTCTTTCCTCAGTGCAGACCATACCTTTAAGGTATCTTCAAACATCGGGTTTCGGTGCAATGGAAAATGGGTTCAACTATATGACAGTTTATTCATTGTTATGAATGAAATTGGAGTTGTGATGTCATGGCAGCTTTGCAAAGGGACAAGTTTTCGTGCACCTAACAGAATGCTACATCGACTCAAAGACAGACTTACTTCATTAGCTTGTTCCATAGGTCAATTCCACATCGATAATTGTTGGTCAATGGAGAGAAAAACTACAGTCTGTATTTGGAAACAATACCTTTGTTCAACTAGACCCATTTCATGCCATTCAATGGTTTACTTCAAAAATCTCAAAGAAGGGGGATAAAGGGAGTGCATTACGGAGACTACGCTCTCAAATGATCTCAGACTTTAAACTAATTTTCAGAGACCATTCGCATTTTCCTGCATTTTCCATCCCATCCCGGCATATACAACTTCCTCTAAGTGAACTGATGTTCCAGATCCCATCACTCTGACAATCCAGGCTTAGAGCGCCTTGCTTTTGGAAGGCATCAGTAACACAACCAACTTCAACTGGCTTTGAGTTGTTTGCTCGAGCTACTGTGTGTGGTAGGAGAACCAAGCTACTAATAGTCAATGTTGGGCAGAAGTACTGAATAACTAACAGTGACGGAGTAAAGGGTACTACATGAACCCTGGTCGTGAAATGCCAAAACGATGTACTTTCTTTTGACTCCTACACGAAACTTTTGAGACACTCTGATGCCAAGAGCTGACAGAGCTGTTTTCGCAATCTTGTCATAACTAGCGTTGTTTGTGAGAGGGTCGGGTTCCGTTCGATGCCAGGACTGATGTTCGTAAAAGTGGAAATAATTTGTGCAATAATTCCCTCCTTCGGTATAAAGTGACGAACAGTTTCTTGTTCGGTACTGGATGGTAACAAAGACTGTTTTCACCCCACTGTGGACTTCTATGGGATCAGTTCTAAGCCAGTTGTTTGGTTGTGGAAATGCATCCAGAAAAACATCACACGATGAGTAACATGTCTGCTCCGTCCACTATTAGAAACAACCAGTTTAAATGATTAAATCGTGAAGTGGTTAAAAGATGAGCTTCACTGGCTCAATCCCCTTTAAAAAGCCATTTTTCAGTGACTGAGTCCAATTTCAATTTAATAGAACTAATTTAGCAGCAGTTCCGGCTGTGAGCATAGTCGAATTTTACTCTTGGGTTCAGACCATTCACTGAATGATTAGAAGCAAAAACTTTCTTTCACATTTGTGTGCGTAGTCCAGAAAATTCAAATTTATCCGCATTAATGCGGAGGAAAGTATTTTAAAGAACCGAATGACCAGATTTAAAGCCTGTTTGACTTCTTTAGCACGCAAATTAAAGTGAAAAGCAAAAACCTAGGATGTTTTAGAATTACACGTCTGTAGCTGAAAGTTTCAATGATTCATATTTGTTTTTCACCGATTGCGTCTTTTTTTCCTTTGAAATATTGCTCACTAAGAAGTAATTTTTAATGTGTTAAACTATTCAAAATTTGTTGCAAACAATTGCTGTGGAGGTGGAATGAGGAATGTCCTTTTGCTTTTTAGGGGGAGTGCAGGGGTATTACAAGTACTATCGTATTTGGCAGCTAACCACTACTCATTTATGTTCGAGTACGAAGGACTTTGGAAACTTTATTGACTAACCAGAGCACTAATATTTTGCCCAGTTGATCGCACTTTATCCTACCAAATTCTTTTAGAGTAAAAGTCAATTTGATCCTCTGGTAACGATTTACTTATGTAAACGTTTGGATGATAAGCGAATTCTTGACGTTAATTCATTTTCATTCATAGGCTCAATTCATAGACAGGTAAAGACGAACGATATAATATCCCGACGTTTCGGCGACTTCATGACGCCATGTCATGAAGTTGCCGAAACGTCGGGATATTATATCGTTCGTTTTTACCTGTCTATGTATTACTAAATCTTTGTTAATAGACTCAATTCGTTGCAAATAAGGAAGATAGAGAAAAAAATATGAAAGAAAATGAAAACTTTTATTGGCCAGAGCATGATGCCGAGAACTTTGTTTTGAATTTAAAATCGAAAAGGAAAAGCAGACAACGGATTTGAAATTAATACGTTTACGATATGAAGGAACAGGATTTTATATTCCTGTCTATTTATCTAAATCTTCATTTCCTCTAAAAGTCAGATCAGCACTGTAAGCAATGAGCAGAGAACGCTTTGCAAGTTACAAATGCCCGAGCAAAGTGCCCTGGAAATCTGTCTAACTATCATTTCTGGCGTTCAAAACTTAGTTACTTTTTAAGGAACCCTATCTTTTAACCTCATGACAAGCAGTAACAAAATTCTTTAAACAAATATTTGTTATGCAACTAATCACCTCAATTTTTTACGGAGGAACGGCTTACAAAACAGTCGAAATATAAGATCTCACCCCATAACCAGATTCCGTTGTTGGCCTCGATGGAATCCAAATCCAGGGTTTACCTGGTGTTGGCTGCTTTTCTAAAATGCCTTTAGAGAGTAAAATTCATCAGGTTAATAATGCACCTATGAAAAGTGTTTTACACTACAAAAACTGCATGCCAACCATAATTAGCTCATATCCAAAAACGGTTCAATTCATGAGATGAAAAAATTGATTATGTGAAGTAACAAGTTGTACTTGATTCGGCCTGTCTGTTCGATATTGTTTTGTCGACGAATTTCGTAATGCACATTTATTTAATGACCCAAAATTCATCGCCATTTTGTAAGATGGAAACCAATTCTCAATACCAAAGGTTGATTTTCCTTGCTTTTCCATTCTCGCTCAAGACTCGTACATCATCTTTGACTTAAAAACTTATATAAAATAAAACTGTATGCAAATATCAACTAACAAAATATTGCATCATTACTTCATACCTTCATCCGCCGATGATAATATTAAAATACGCAGGAGGGTAACGATTGTAACTAAGCTGTAATGCATGTCCGATTGCACCTTGAGCCACAGAGGAAAAAAATAACATGACCGAACTGTAATATTWWA